GTCCTCCGTGATTGGTCAGACCACCCAGCGCTGGCCAATGAGAGCCTGGTCCAGGATTCTGCGTGACGTGCCTCCGAAGGAATCCTGGCGGCTGGGGCTTGGAGGTCCCAGGAACCTGGTGCAGCAGGAGGTAGCAGCTCGGGGTACCCCCATCCCCTGCACCCCGTGCAAGGTGGGACCTGCCCAAAGAAAGGGCTTTGATCACATCTAGACCAGTTTTCTCTGGACTGTATTAAATCACGTGAGCTCGTAAATTTCCTCCTGGCCGTAATCTCCTTTGAAGTGCGTCTTTACTTGAAGGATCACTTGCAACAGAAAAGATTCTTGACGTAGACGTCGACGAGCTCCTTTCGAGACAATACCAGCAGTAGTCTACTGATGCCAAGGATAGGGGTGAAGACTGCACAGAGGAGAGCGGGGCATGTAAAGACCTCCAGGCTTCTGTCCGGAGCCCCTTTCCCACGGAATAGCAATGCAAGCCTGAGTGAGTTTCTTCTTCCTAAACAATCAGTTTTACAGAAATCCTACTTTGGAAATCGTCTTCTGGAGAGCCTTGGGGAGCGCTTACTGACTGTCGCAACACCTCACCCTGCAGCTTGTCGCCAAGTACTACTCCAGATTATAAGGCTATAGATTTACCAGCGGGTTACTTGCCTTGCACCTGCCAAAGGACTTTGGTTCGGTTCTTGGTACAGCAGAAGGCTCCCTGTAAACCATCAGTACATACACTCAGGCTCCCCTCCCTCCCTAGCTCCTCCTCTCCAAGAGCAGATGTTCAGTGTGTGTGTGTTAATGGTTAAGGGCTAGAGAGAACGCACAGTGGATTAAGGTGTTTGTCTTGGGGCCAGAGAGACAGGATAGCCGGGTAGGGCATTTACATTACATGCAGCCAACCCAGGTTGAATCTCTAGCACGCCATATGGGCACCCACCAGCCTGCCAGGACTGATCCCTAAGTGCAGAGCCGGGAGTAAACCCTGAGCACTATCAGCTGTACCCCCTTCCCCCCCAAAAAAAGATAAAAATTCTTATTTGCATGCCACTGATCCCAGATTGATCCTCAGCACCACATATGGCCCCCTGAGCACTGCTGTGGGCCACTCCTGACCACAGAACCAGGAATAGGCCCTGGGCACTGCCCAGTGTCCAGATTCCAAATCCCACCCTCCCCAGCCCCAATCCTAAATTGTAGGGCCAGATAGTGTAGGGTATAAAACACATGCCTTGCACGTGGTTCACCCAAATTTAATCTCAAGCACTACCAGACATGATCCCTGAGCACAGAACTAGGGGTAAGCCCTGAACACTGCCCAGTGTGTGGCATCCCAAATCAATATTTAAATTAAACAAATAAAATAAGTATGTCACCTGAAACCTAGTTAGGCTTATTTATTTTGGTTTTTGGCTTTTGAGCACCACCTGGTGATGCTCAGGGGTTACTCCTGGCTCTGCACTCAGGAATTACTCCTGGTGGTGCTCAGGCGACCATATGGGATGCCGGGAATCGAACCCAGGTTAGTCATGTGTGAGGCAAAGTGCCCTCCCCACTGTACTATCGCTCCAGCCCCAGCTCATTTGTTTTATTTTAGAAGGGAAGTAGAAGATGTAAGTCCATCCTGTAGTAAGCCACTATGAAATAAATTTATATAAAACTTCTGGTTGGTTGGTTCTTTTTTTCCTTCCAAAGACATACTCAAGGATGTTTGTTTCTTTGCCCAGAGGTGCCCGTGACCATGGATACACTCAGAAACCTCTTCTGATGACACAAGCTGAAAGGGAAGCATGCTGGGTGGCAGAAAATGGAGCTGGCTTTGTATATTTTATTTATTGATTTTGGCTTTGGGGCCATATCTGGCTGTTCTCAGAATTTACTCCTGGCTCTGTGCTGAGAGCTCACTCCTGGGAGTCCTTGGGAATCCTCTGGGGTACTGAGGAATAAACCTCGGTCAGCCCCATGCGAGGTGAGTGCCCTCCCCTCTGGACCATCACTCTGGCCCCTGATGCTGAGTATTTTAAATCAATATTTAAGATGTATATAGCACAACAGATGTCCATGATTCAGAATGTGTTTACATTCATTCCATTGTGTTTTTTTTTGCAAATGTCTTCAAAATCTGCCCATTTGAAACCTTTGTACAAATCAGCAGAGAATGGGCAACGCCGGTGTGGGTTTGTGCTAAGTACATTTCATAACAATTTCACAGAAGCTTTGGACATGCTTTTGGAAACATTCATGCAGTTACTCCTGGGAGTACTTGTGCATTTTTTTCTATTTATGGTTTCTGAGAATTTCCTAATACGTCTTGGCACCCTGACACAGGAGATAAAAGACTGACTAAAATTTATGATCCTTGAGCATGTTAAAAAAAGAAAAAGAAAAAGAAGTTCGCACTCTTGGAGATTGGTTAAGGGAGCCTGGCCACAGTTTCCTTGTCACTGAGACCAAAATGTCCTTTATTTTTTATTTTTTTTTTCAAAATGTCCTTTAAATGACAAAGTGGGGGTGGATTTTCTTTGGATTTCATGTCAGTTCTCCTTACTCACGCCTATCCCAGGCTGTCTCATGGTTGATAAACCGTTTCCGGTCACACATCCCAACAGATCAAGTTCTCTTCTGTGAATCTTCATCCTCCTGGGGGCTCTGGGGTGGGGGGTGGGGTCCTTCCTGTTCTGTCGTTGATCTCCCCAAACCAAACCTTATGGGGATATTTAAACAGAACACCTAAAATTTCTTTTCTTTCTTTCTTTCTTTCTTTCTTTCTTTCTTTCTTTCTTTTTTGGCTTTTTGGGCCATACCAGTGATGCTCAGGGGTTAGTCCTGACTCTGCACTCCGGAATCACTCCTGGTAGTGCTTGGGGGACCCTATGGGATGCCGGGGCCCAAACCCAGGTCGGCCGTGTGCAAGGCAAACATTTTGCACACTGTACTATGGCTCCAGCCCCAGACGCCTAAAATTTCAGTCTTGAGTGTAGGAACCAAGATGCCCGGGGAGCTGCGGGGATGCAGCCAACTGCCCTGAATAGAATTGGCACTTCTGCCGCCCAGCAGATGGGCTGGCCTCCCTTCACTCATCCACGGCTCAGGAGGACCTGGTCCAGGTGGCCGGGGTTCTAGAGCGTGGAGGGAGTGGCAACTATGCATGGAATTAAATTCATCACCCAACTGAAAAAACGAACAACAACAAAAATCCCTGATGTCTACTCACTTGAATCTTGGGTACATTATTGGTTTGGGCTCCCTACCCGGTGGTGCTCAGTGGCTAATCCTGGCTCTGCACTCAGGAATTACTCCTGTGGGGCTCAGGGGACCCTATGGGATGCTGGGGATCAAACCCTGGTCACAGCCACCACGTACAAAGCAAATGTCCTACCTGCTGTGCTGCTGTGCTATTGCTCTGGTCCCTGCTTTTTCTGGTTTCTTTTTCTTTTCTTTTCTTTTTTGTTTTCTTTCTGAGGTTGCTGGGGGAGGGCTCCTTACTCTGTTGGGGGGTTGTCTCTGAGTGCTGGTGCCAAGCCTGCTGCATTCAGCCTGTTGACCCATTGTTTCTGCCTATCCAGACATTTTCAAAGCCCGAGAGCACCCAGTAAGTCCTGAGAGAGAGTGGCATCAGGCATAAGCCACGCTTTATCTGTGCTGCAGAGTGATTTTATTTTGTTGGTGGGGGGAGTGAGGGAGTCGCTTCTGGCAGCCCTCACGGGACCAGCCTCAGGACTCCACATGTTAAGCCTGTGCTCCGGCTCACCTCTCCAGACCTCTGGCTTATTTTGAAACCAGGCTGGAATTTCTGGCAGTGCGGGGCTTGCGGAACACAGGGTGACACTCAGCAGGGCCTGCCAAGCAGCTGAAGCCTCGGGCTAAGATCTTTGCAACCCCCACAGGGCGGGCAGGCTTCTCCCTTCCAGTTCATCCCCTTCCTGGCCCCAAAGGATCAGACACAGGTGGGTGTCCCCTGCAGTGGGCCTGCGTAGCCATCCCTTTATTTTTTTAACATTTATTTTGTTTGCTTTTTTTTCCTTTTTTTTTTTTTTGCTTTTTGGGTCACACCCGGCGATGCACAGGGCTGACTCCTGGCTCTGCACTCAGGAGTTACTCCTGGCGGTGCTCAGGGGACCATATGGGATGCTGGGAATTCAACCGTGCGCAAGCCGGGCGCCCTCCCCACTGGACTCTCACTCCCGTCCCTTACCAAAAAAAAATTGTCCAAGATTTTTTTCGCGATCCGAGGTCGGTGGGGCCTGGAAGGCCACAGCTGAAGACACGTCTGCCAAGCCCAGGCGAGTTGGTCCGTGGAGATCTGGCCAGGGCAGCTCCAGATCCGGCTTTGTGCTGGGCCTGGACGAATGAAGTCCCCCTCCCTGTCACTTCACGCCCTTCGGGGCCCGCCCTGTCCACCCCGCGCCTCTCCTTCACCCTCGGCAATCTGGGCGCGTCGGGGGAGGTGGGGTGCGGGGCTGGGCAGTGCCGCCCCGGGCAGGCCCGGGCCGAGCGGGTGGGGGCAGCGGACGCGGAGGGGCGGGTCAGGACAGCGAAGCGGCTGCAAAGGGGCGCCCTGGGGGGCACGCACGCCGCGAGGGATCGTTAAGTGGCCTTTGAAGGGACCCCAACTAGGTCAGCCCCGGGGGCGGGGGCCTCCCCGCTGCGCGCCCCTGGGCCGGCCCGGCCCCCCGCGGCTCTGCAGCGGGGCTGGGCTGCCGGGCTCGACTGCGCCACTCCCTCGGCTCCCGTGGGCGGGGTCCGGCGGGCGCCGCGGCCCCGGGGCGGCGGGGGGGTGGGGGGTCCCGGGCGCGCGCGCGGCCCGACGCGGCGCGACGCTCCGGGCTCAGCCAATGCCGTGGCTCGCGCGCGGCGGGCGCGGCCTCCGGCCAGCAGGGGGCGCCGCGCCGGGCGCCTCCGAGCCGCCGCCGCCGCCGCCCGCGGGAGGAAAAGCCGCGAGGAGCGCCCCGGCCGCCGCCCCGCGCCCCGCGCCCGCGCCCGCGCCCCCCGCCGCCGCCGCCGCCGCCCCGCGCCGCCGTCTCCGCAGGTGGGTGGGCGCCCGCCGCGCGCCCCCGCGTGCCGCGCGCGCCCCCGCGGCTAACGGACGCGGGCGGGGGAGGGGCGCGGGGCGCGGGCGCGCGGGGTCCCGAGCGCCCCCGGAGGGGCTGGGGGCGGCGAGGGGCCGAGCCGGGCCGGGGGTCGCCGCCGCGCCCCGGCCCCCCGCGCGCACGCCGGCCGCGGCCTCCGGGCCCCTCCCGGCCTTTGTGTGCGCGCGCGGCCGGGGGCGCCGCCTGGGGGTGGGCTCCGGGCCGGGGGTCTCGGGCGCGGGCCCGGCGGCTCCTTTTGTCCGGGGCGCGCGCGGCCGGCCGGGGGCTGCCCGGGCTGGGGGGCTGCGGCGCGCCGGTGCGTCCCGGCGATCCCCCCGCCCAGACCCCGGCGGGGGTCTCCTCCCGGCCCCGGGGCGTCGCGGGGGCACCTGTCAGCGGCCGCCTGGGGGGCTTCCCGGCGGGGCGGGTGGGCGCAGGGGTGTGGTCAGGCCCCACCGCGCGGGCGCCCCTCCGCCGCGCGCCTGCGCCCTGCGCCCCGCGCCCCGCGCGCCCCGCCCCGTCCGGGCACCCGGGCGCTCCCCCCGGAGGTGGACTGGGCACGGCGCGGCGACCGAGGTGCCCGCCCGGGGCCCGCGGAGCACCCCTGGGTCCGCTCCCGAAGACGCGCGCGCTCGCGGGGTGGGAAGCCCACGGGGCCGGGGGCGCGGGTGGTGGCCGGCCTGTGCGGCCTGGGCTCCCGGGACCTGGAGGGAGACGGTTCATCTGTCGGGTGTCTTGCTCTTTTATTGGCTTTTTGGGTTTTTTTTTTTGCTTTTGGGGTCACGCCCGGCGATGCTCAGGGGTCCCTCCTGGCTCATGCGCTCAGGAATCACCCCTGGCGGTGCTCGGGGGACCATATGGGATGCTGGGAGTCGAACCCGGGTCGGCCGCGTGCAAGGCAAACGCCCTGCCCGCTGTGCTCTTGCTCCAGCCCTGTCTTGCCCTTTTAAGTACACTTTTTGGCTTTTCAGTTTTGGGAAGAGGGGGCGTGGGTGCGGGCGCGGGCACAGCCCCGGGCTCCCCGTTCGCTTCTGGCGGGAACCGGCGGGGTGCCCCCCGGGGATCGGGTGTGGGGAGATAGGCTGCCTTGGCCGCGAGCACCTTAGCCCCAGGACTGTCTCTCCAGCCCTCCCCCGCCCTTTTTAAAATTTAATTCGATGATTTTTTAAAAGCCGGGCTGCTTGCAAGTGGAAGAATGAGTGCCCGCGAGTCGGACCTGGGACCGCGCTGGGCGGGCGCCCCACCCACCCTCCGGGTGTGGGCAGGGGCCCTGGGTGCCGCCCCCTGCCACCTGCTTGCCTTTTCACTGCCCCTGTGGTGGCACTTGGTCTCCCGGTTCCCGGGATAGCGCCGCCCACCCCCACCCCGCACTCCTGATCTCACCCTCGGGCCCCCCTGAACCTGCGCTCGGATTGCACAAAGCAGAGCTGGCCCTGATTGGCCGAGCGGTTCGAATTCATGGGGCGCGTTTTTCACCGTTGGCATTTCCCCTGGCTGCCCTGTGGGTAACCTGAGGCTGGTAAATCTGGTAAATCCCGACCGGGATCTGCTACCTAAGTAAAATTCCCGGGGAGTCCTGCCCAGGGGTGGGGGTTTCTCATGGCAGGGCCCCAGCTAGAGTGCAGTTCCTGTCCACAAGCGCGGGGCCAGTCCCAGGAATCCTGATTGGATTGACCTGTCCGACTGCCCACTTGAGAGAATCAGCCCGGAAGGAATCTCAGCTCCTGGCCCGAGCGTCTGTTGGGAAGTCTGGGCCAGCCAGCAGAGGACCAGCGAGAGACAAAAGACTCTGTTCAGACTGTCTGGGACAGGCTTCCTGGAGAACACTTCATTTCTTGGGCATGGTTTGACTTTTATTTTTTTTTTATTTTACTTTTGTTTTTGGGCCACACCCTCTGATGCTTGGTGGGGAGGGCCATATGGGGTACCCCAGGTTGAACCCTGGTGGACCATGAACAAGCCAGGTGCTCTCTCGGCTATAAATCATTGCTCCGGCCCCAGACTTTTTTTCCTGACTGACATTCTTGGGATTGGAAGTGACATTTATTTTCTTTAATAGAGGTATTTATAAATTAAGGGGGAAAAATTTTAGGACACATTTTTATTTTGTTTTCGGCTTTTGGGGCACACCCAGCGATGCTCAGGGGTTACTCCTGGCTCTGCACTCAGGCTCTGAACTCCTGGCTGTGCTTGGGGACCATTTGGGATGTTGAGAATCGAACCTGGGTTAGCTGTGGGCAAGGAAAGCTCTCTACCCACTGTACTATCTCTCTGGCCGTTTAGGACGCATTTTTGGGAGAGAAGTACCAACATATTCGTCCAGAAGTTAAAAAAATTAACGCCTTTGATCATCTGTTTTAATCCACCAAAAAATGATGTTTTATGTGACGAGAGTTTTTTGAAAAGGATCAAGGCCACGTTGCTGGTCCAGCGGGCCCAGTATCTTTGCCTTGCACACGGCTGACCCGGGTTCCATCCCTAGCAACCCCTCTGGTCCCCTGAGCACCAGGAATAATTCCTGAGCATAGAGCCAGGAGTAACCCCTGAACACCACTAGGTGTGGCCCCCAAACCAGAGCAAAAACCAAAAAGAAAAAAGAATCAAGGCCACAAACTTCCCTACGAGGTTTTGTCCCAGCAAGAAATTAAGCTTTTTTTTTTTTCAAGCAATGGATTTAGTTCATACAAATTTCATCTCGTGTCCAGTGAAACCAAGGCACCGACCATGTCTTGGCCCCTGTCAGAGAGGACAGAACGTTTCTCTTTGGCACGTAACTGAATGGAAATGGGTGTCCTGGCGAGCGGGGCCACCCAGCTGCTCTTGCAGTCTCCGCAGCCCAGGGAGGTCTGAGCTGGCCACGCGGGGTACCACAGAGACTTCTCTTCCCACAGATTCCCCCCAACTTCCTGAGCTGTCCCCTGTGGCCTGGCCGGCCTGGCCACTGGTCCCCTTGTCTGGGGACACTGAGCTTCTTCTTCGTAGCCAGAGGAAACAATCTCATAAAATTGCCAGTGGGAGGGTCCCTTTGGGGGGGGCACTAGGACATTGGGGCGCACCAGTGCTCTGCTGTCTGGGTTCATCGTGGCTGAGGGCTGCGTTGTGACCACTCGCTTTTCGGGGTGCTCCCTCGCCTGCGGGATTCGGAATGTGTCGCAGTGCTGCTCTGCGCCACGGCTGTTACTTGTCTGTGCCGTGGTGCAGGGAACAGACCGGGGAGTGAGTGCTGGCTTCGGTTTCCTTCCAGAAGAGTTCAGGGCAGAGCCACATTCGCTCGTGGTAGGCTCTCGGTTTCCCCGCGAGGGCCCTGTGCCCACTCTGTGGTCTGCCCAGCTGTCCTCGGCAACGTCCCTCGAGCCCAGCCCTGGTGCGGGTTGGTGGGTCCTGAGCTGCCAGCCCTGGGGAACACCCGTCTGTCTCGGGTGTGGGGCCGGACCCCCGGCTGCTGGCACCGTTTCTGCCTGTGTCCCATCCTCACACTGACCCTTCGGGGCGTCCTGCAAAGCTGCTTCCCTGTGAGGTCGTGCAACTTTTTAACGTTTTTTGGGCCGTGCTTGGCAGTGCTCAGGATTTCCTCCTGACTCTGTGCTCAGGGCTCACTCCTGGCAAGAGTGGAGGACCCCAGGGGATGCGGACGATCGAACCCAGGTCTGTCCTGTTGTTCCACCCCTGCACAGCTTTTTAAAGTTAACTTTCCTCGTGATCAATTTATTATCAGTAAATGTTTGAGTCATTTGCCTGATTTTTGTCAACTTGGTCTGTGAAAGTCTCTCAGGCAGCTCCCTGCCCCACTGAACACTGCAGAGGGCACCCCTGAAAACTGCAAGGGGACAACACCCCAAAACTAAAAAAATACCAAAAAATGTCTCTGACCCAAAAGTGTCCCCATGGGGAAGCGCTGGCCGGGACCGGGGGCTGGGGCGATGGCCCAAGGGGCTGCACACGGGCTTGACCTGCATGGAGCCCGGAGCCCCAGGTGTCCTCCTTGGTCCACCTCCTATGGTCCAACACCCACCTTGGTAGTGAGGTGTGCCACTTCCTGGTGACGCGGGGACACCCACAGGAACAGTGACCACTGCTGCCTGTGGTGGCCACACTCTGCTCCCTCTGAGTCATCCATGCTGGCCCAAGGCCACAAGTCCGGTGGCCACAGCCCTGGGGTCACCAGTGTGCTGACCCCAGGACTCTGCCCATGGATCCCCAGGGTGTCGGCGCCCGGACAGTGGTGCCCTGACTCGCCAAGTGAGTCCCCAGCCTGAAGTCCCCCTCCCTGCTTTGTCCCCGCTCTCCTCTGCATGCCCCGTTGGTGAGGATGGCAGAGTCCCCTCATTTCTGGGGGTGCCCTGCTCTGCCACGCTGCCTGCCCCTAACCTGTGCCAGGTTCTCACACTCGGGCCTCAGAGCTCTCGGTGGACCTCCGGCCCGCGTCTCCCCTTTAGCCCCTGCCGCCCCCTGGTCACTTGGTGCCCTATGACCTGGATAACAGATAGTGAACGGTCCTGGGGGTAAGGGAGACAGAGAGATGTTCTGGAAAGGGTTTGAAACAGCTGGTGCGGGGGAGGGGGCAGCAGCGGGGCCAGGCAGGCACAACCCGACCCCCGCAGGGCCCCTGAGAGTGTGCCGGGCGGGCGGAGAGAGTTGGGGTCTCCTTGGCAGGGTCAGCAATCCTGCCTTGACCCTGAGGGTCCCAGTGGCCTGGGGTGGCTTTCACAGGCGTGCTGGCCACTGGGACCTTGGACAGCACGGGAGGACAGATCTCAGGACCGGGACGGGGAGCAGCCCCCGTTCCTCTGGTGGCTGGGGTCGGCAGTGGGTGTCTCGAGGTCATACGGCAGCGGGGAGGGCGCCCGCCTTGCACGTGGTCAACCTGGGTTCGGTCCCCAGCACCCCCCGGGGTCCTGCCAGGAAGGATCCTGGAGTTCAGAGTCAGGGGTGAGCCCAGGGCACAGCTGCATGTGGTCCCCAAATTCAACGAAACCAAAGGGCCTGGGATTTTGTGCCTTTGGGTGGCGGATGCCGTGGTTTAAGCTTCAGTATTCTGCCTGAGAGGCGGCTTCTACCTTACAGCTCCCCGACGGCTTTGGAGTCCTGGTGGGCTGCTGAGTGGGCAGTGGAGGGTCGACACTGGTGGCCGCAGTGCAGGCTGCGATGCATTCGAGGGTGAGGAAGGCGGGGGGTGCAGACATAACAGTGTCATCACATGGCCGGCGTGTGGATGTCCCTTGTGGAAAGCTCAGCTCATGGTACATAGAAATTGTGTCAAGTAGGAATTGGGGTGGGGCGGAGAGTGAACTGCCCCGTGTGCGTCCCCGGAGAGGCTCCCAGAGGGAGACTTTTGCTTCTGCCACTGGAAACACTGTGTCCATCTCTTCTTTTTTTTAAATTGGATCACCCGTGAGATACACAGTTGCAGAGTTGCCCCTGATTGGGTTTCAGTCATAACAATGTTCCAACACCCTCACTTCGCCAGTGTACATTTCTTTTTTTTTTTTTTTTTTGCTTTTTGGGTCACACCCGGGATGCTCAGGGGTTACTCCTGGCTCTGCACTCAGGAATTGCTCCTGGCGGTGCTCGGGGGACCATATGGGATGCTGGGAATCGAACCTGTGTTGGCCATGTTGGCTGCATGCAGGACGAACGCCCTACCCGCTGTGCGATCGCTCCAGCCCCCACCAGTGTCCATTTCAAACCAAGGTGGCCCCCGTTTCCCTTCTGCCACCCCCTCCGGCCTGCCTCTATGCCAAGCACTTCTCTCCCTCTTCCTCCCGCCCCCGCGTCTCTTTCTTTTTCTTCTCGGGTCACACCCTGTGACACTCAGGGCTTCCTCCTGGCTCTTAGGGAATCAGTCCTAAGACAGACCCGTGTAGGCGACACAAACGCCCTCCCCGCTGTGCCGTCATCTCTTCTTAGTCACATCCTGGATCTTCCTCTTGGGGTAGAGGCCAGGGTTCAAGGTTTTCTAGCCTTTTCTGGGGCAGTGGAATCAAGGCTCTGAACTGGGCGGATTTTCCTGGGGGGCCCCTTCCCCGCCCACAGACAGACCTGCCCATGACCTTTGCACCGCTTCCCTCCATGGGCGAGAGGGACGGGGTTCTCCTTCCGGCCCCTGGCCTGTGCCAGTGCCCCTTGGCCCTCGGCCTTGGTTCCAGTGCTCGGCCAGGTGGGCAGCCTTCACCCTTGCCTCCTCCTGCTGGTGCTGAGGGCCCTGTGCCTGTCCGCCTACCTGTCCACTGCGGTCTGGCTTGGCAGCCATGCCTAGAGGTGCCCCAGGGCTGTTCCCCACCCTGTGGTTTTGGGTGCCCCTGAGCTGCCTCGGTTTCCCCTCAGTGCTGGGCTTCCTGTGAGCCCGTGTGGGCTCTCTGGTTTCTCCCAGCCTGTCCGACACTGACCAGTTGGTGTGTTGTGGACACGCGACCTCCCCGCCAACACACTTGATCCAGCACATCATCTGTCACACACAGGTCACACTGAGTTCAGAGAGTGCATGTGGGCTGGTCAGCCCTGCGTGTTGGCCAGGCCCGCTGCCTGTATTTTTGGCTTCTTTTCTTTCCCACTGTCGCCTTCGGCTGCAAAACACATTGCAGAGGAAGTTTCAGTGGCTCAGTGTCACTGGGACTTTTACGTGTTCTTTTTATTGGGGGTGGGGAGTGGGGACCTGCTTGTGTTTAGAACCTACTCCCGGCTCTGGGCTCGGGGATCACCCCCGGAGGTGCTCAGGGGACCCTCTGTGGTGCTGGGGAGCCAGCCAGGGCCCTGCCCTTCTGTTGCTTTCGCCCGCTTTTTTTTTTTTAAATTTATTTATTGAATCACCGTGAGAACAGTTACAAAGCTTCGCGTTTGAGTCTCAGTCGTACGATGATTAAACACCCATCCCTTCACATTTTCCACCACCAAAGACCCCAGTATGCCCCCCACCCCGCCTCTACCCCTGGCTGTGTGGTAGATAATTACTCTTTCTCTGCTTTGATCACATTCGGTATTTCAACACCAGTTCCACCATTATAATTCGGAATTTCCGCCCAACGTTCAGACCTGCTGAAAAGGCAACGTTAGACAAATTGTTTTTTATTGCTGGTTATGAATACATATGATCTCGGAGTTCAAACATTTTAATTAGATCTGGAGAGGTTTCCACCAAGAGCCGCTTGGTTCAGAGATTAGTTTGTGTGTCTCTGGGATCTTGGCTTTTAAGGAGCTTAATAGGTATGGGGGCAGGGGGTCGTTCTTGGGCAGCATCTAAGGGTCCTGTCGGGGTGGGGAGGAGAAGTCTGGCCCTGCGTTTACGTGTGATATTTGGAAACTAGGGAAGGACAGAGGGCGGCTGGGAGCCTGTGCTCTTCAGCCCAGGACCAGTGGCCTGCTGCCCTCTGCCCTGTACACTCGTTCAGTGTCCAGCGTCAGGAAAGGAGATAAAGGGATTAGGAGGGAGGGAACAATCTGGGGCAGCCCCAGCCCTATCCCTGCCCCAGGGTAAAGGTGAGAGAGGGCTCAAGCTGCTCTGGGCAGGGATGGGGGAATTTGGGGCTCCCTGTCCTTCAGCATCAGGTCACCTGCCTCAAATGACTGAGTAATAAAGACGCTTGGAGCTGGAAACACAAAGTTTCCTGGGAAGCTGAGTGAAGAGAATTGCCCCTGGCAGGGGGCAGCCTAGGGAAAGCGACTCTTTGTGTTTCTTTTTAGAAAAACATTTTGTTTCAGGCACTGTGTTTGCAATTCTGTTCTGGATGGGGCTCCCTGCAGGACACTTTCAGGCCCCGTAGCCTTGCCTGGCCCAGAAGCGCTACAGCCTTCTAAATCCTTTTAATCCTTCACACTTTCTAAAGTGTGAGATTAGGGCCTGGGGCTGGCGCTTGCCTCACCCGCTCCTCAGCCTGGGTCCAGCCCATCACGCAGTGCCACTTCTGTTCCGGAGCACTGCCAGGAGTCACCCCTGAGCACAGCCCCTTGTGGCCCCAAAGCAAACCGGAAAACAGAAACATCGCCCCAGGGGCTGGAGTGATAGCACAGTGGGTATGGCGTTTGCCGTGTTTGCAGCTGACCCGGGTTCGATTCCCAGCATCCCATATGGGCCCCCCAGCACTGCCAGGAGTCATTCCTGAGTTCAGAGCCAGGAGGAACCCCTGTGCATCGCAGGGTGTGATCCCAAAAGCAAAACGAACGAACCAACAAAAGCCAAAAACATCTCCCCAGCCGTAGGAGGGACTCCCGCTGGCTGTGGCCCAAGAAGCTAAGACAAGCCAGAAAAATGTCACATGAGGTCCAGGTCTCTCTGGGTACCTGCATCCCAGTATTGAATAACAGCTGGAGGGTGTGATGCCACTTCCAGCTCACAGGTCGAGGTCTGGGATGCTGCCAAGCTCCTGCAGGGTACAGGACAACCTCCCCAGTAAAGGGTGTTCCGGTACCAGTTGTGGAGATTGAGAACCCCTCTCTCCCCCTTTTTTCCCCTTTTTGGGTCACACTGGCGATGCACAGGAGTTAGTCCTCGCTCATGCACTAAGGAATGGCTCCTGGCGGTGCTCTTAGGACCATGTGGGATGCTGGGAATCAAACCCAGCCAACCATGTGGGATGCTGGGAATCGAACCCAATCAGCCGAGTGCAAGGCAGACACACCCTGTCCGCTGTGTCATCGCTCCAGCCCTGAGAAATCCCTTTCTGGGGCTGTCCACGGGTGATGCTTGATCGCACCTGTTAAGGGGCTCTCTCTGAACTTGGGGGTGCAGGTGGTGGGAGCTTCGGTGTGTATGGGGCGTTGGCTAGTGCCGAGGGAAACTGGCCTTCCAGGAAGTTCTGACTGAATTCATTTTGTGCAGGTCATTATTGTGTCACTCGTATCAACAAGGATGATTTTAGAGTTTGTGTAACGGAATCTGTGGGCAGTTTAGACTGCATGGAGGGAGGGCTGGCCGGGCAGAACCGTGATTTTCTTTGAATTTTTTTTCTTCTTTTTTTCTTTTTGGGTCACACCCGGCAATACACAGGGGTCACTCCTGGCTTTGCAGTCAGGAATTACTCCTGACGGTGCTCAGGGGACCATTTGGGATGCTGGGAATCGAACCCGGGTCGGCCATGTGAAAGGCAAACGCCCTACCCGCTGTACTATCACTCCAGCCCCCTTGAATTTATTTTAACTTTTGTCTTGCTGCCAAGAGCCTGTGCACCGAGCCTGGGGAGGGACAGCTGTTTCCTGGAGGCCCTGGGGGGCGGTGGAGGGAGGAGGTGGAGGGCGGCGAGCTGGGGGGGGAGGGCGCAGGGTGGAGAGCTCACGCCTGCCAGGTGCCAGGAGCAGGGACCACTGGGGAGCTCGGGAGAGTTGTGGACTGGGAGGGCTCTGGGTCCACGCGGGGCGGGGGGCAGGAACCCCAGGCACAGGTTCTGATTGGCAGTTCCCAGTGTGACTCCGCGGCCTCTCATTTCAGATCGCTCGCTGCGAAGGTGGATGTGTGCGATAACATGTCCAGTGCGTCCCAGGAGAGAAGGAAGAGGCAGCAGAACATTAAGGAAGGCCTGCAGTTCATCCAGTAAGCGGAAAAAGGAGGGGAGGGGAAGGGAAACAAAGCCTCGGGGGCCTGGGGGCCTGTTCCCTGACAGCAGCGAGCAGTGAGCGGTAGCGATGGCTGGGTTGGCCGGACTCATCCCTGAGGCAGAGCAGAAGGGTGAAGGAATGACTTTTTTTTTTTTTTGGTCACACCCGGCCATGTACAGGGCTTACTCCTGGTTCATGCACTCTGGAATTACTCCTGGCGGTGCTCGGGAGACCACATGGGATGCTCGGAATCGAACCTAGGTTGGCTGCGTGCGAGGCAAGCGCCCTACCTGCCGGGCTATCACTGCAGCCCCTATGCATTTTTTTTTTTTTCCCTGTTTGGGTCACGCCCGGTGATGATGCACAGGGGTGACTCCTGGCTCATGCACTCAGGAATCACTCCTGGCGGTGCTGGGGGGACCATACGGGATGCTGGGAATCGAACCCAGGTCGGCTGCATGCAAGGCAAACGCCCTACCTGCTGTGCTATCGCTCCAGCCCCCACCCATGTAGCTTTTTTAAAAAATTTTTTTGAATTGAATCACAGTGAGATACTACTGTGAATTGCAAAGAATTACAAAGTTGTCCATGATCGGGTTTCAGTCTTCAAGCACCATCCCTTCCCCAGTGCACGTTTCCCACCACCAGCGTCCCCAGTCTCCTCCTGTCTCCTCGTCTCTACGGCAGACACTTCTCTCTCTCTCTCTCTCTCTCTCTTTTTCTTTCTCCTCCTCTCTGTATTTTATTCTTAATTTCCCCTTTCTTTTGGGGCTCATGGTTTGCAATACAGATGCTGAAAGGTTAGAGTTCTATCGCTTTACCTATTTTCAACACTCAGTTTCTGTCCAAAGCGATCATTTTCTTTCTTTCTTTTATTTTTTTTTTTTTGGTTGGCTTGTTTGTCTTTCGGCCGCACCTGACCATCGATGCTCAGGGGTCACTCCTACCTCTGCACTCAGGAATTACTCCTGGCAGTGCTCAGGGGACCCCATGAGATGGCGGGGATCGAACCTGGGTCAGCCACGTGCAAGGCAAGAGCCTCATTCTCTGTATTATCCCTCTGCCCCCCGAAGTGACCGTTTTCGGCTATTCTTGTCACCGTCCCCTTCTCTGTCCTAACTGCCCTTAGCCCCTCGCACACTTGGGGCCAGCTTCCAGCCCTTGACCTGCCCTTGGGTCCCACCCGGTGATGCACAGGGGTCACTCCTGGCTTTGCACTCAGGAATGACTCCCGACGGTGCTCAGGGGACCATGTGGGATGCTGGGACTCGAACCCGGGTCGGCCGCGTGCAAGGCAAACGCCCTCCCCGCTGTGCTATCGCTCCAGCCGCCCCATGCAGCTTTTCTAAAAAAATGTTTTTAATTGAAAATTAAAAAAATTTTTTAATTGGATATGAGTCGCATCCTTGCCTTTTTTTTTTTTTTTGCTTTTTTTTTTTAGGATGCTCTTGCCCCGCCCACCTGCTCTGTTCTTGACCATCTGGTTTCTTTGTGTTCTGGAGTGGGTCTTGGGTCACTGGTATGTTAGGGCTGCAGTCCTTGAGTACCCCGGAATTGGTGGACAGAGGCCTTTGAACCAAGCCTAGAGAGAGGGGACGAAGCACTGACCGGACTTGGGTCTTTGTGGTTACACTTTCCGTGTAGGACTTGGGGATCCCTCTGGGGTTGGGGGCGACTGGCTGGGGGACGTGGCCTGGCTGAGACCCCTTCTCTGTACTCCAGCAAACTCATCACACCCGGCGATGCACAGGAGTTACTCCTGGCTCTGCACTCAGGAGTTACTCCTGGCGGTGCTCAGGGGACCACATGGGATGCTGGGAGTTGAACCCGGGTCGGCTGCCTGCAAGGCAGACGCCCTACCCTCTGTGCTATCTCTCCAGCCCCTGATCAAACCGTTTTAGTGGTTTCTGGACTTAGTTTAAATTTCTGGCATTTAAAGCGGCCCTGGAACGTTAGGACAGTGGGTAGGACGCTTGCCTGACATGTGGCCGACTTGGGCTCTGGCCCCGGTACCCCACAGTGTCCCTCGAGCTCACAGAGCCAACATAAGCCCTGAGCCCCACTTGTTGTGATCCCCCAAAAAACAAAACCAAACAAACAAAAACTTCAGTAGAAGTAGATTCAAAAGGAAAATCTGTTTAGGGCAGGAGAGACACTCCAGGGATCTGGGCGCATTTCTTATTTGAGTTTTGATTTTGCTTTTTGGATCACACCCGGGCGATGCTCAGGGGTTCCTCCTAGCTCTGCACTCAGGAATCACTTTTCGCGGGGCTCAGGGGACCATATGGGAGGCCAGGGATCAAACCCAGGTCGGCCACGTGCAAGGTGAGCGCCCTCCCTGCTGTATATCACTCTGCCCCGAGGCGCAGTTCTTGCCCGCGACAACTCTGGTTCCATCCCCGGCAGAGCAGGGTCCTCTGAGCCCTGCAGGTTCGGGTGGTCTGGGGGTCCCTGGCACTACTGGACCAGGGCCACCCTTGCTCCTTGGAGTCCTTGTTATCAGCCCCTCCCAGTTTCACTGGCAGAGAATTGCCGGGGGCTCCCCCTGCCTCCTGGGCACCGCTTGGGAGTCCTTCCATACTCCTCCGTGCCCAGAAATGTCCTTCCTGGAGGCCCGGGAGGTGGCGGGTGGAGGGAGAGAGTGTTTTGCTTGTGTGAGGGCCTGGATTTGACCCTGGCACAGGAAACAAGACTTTGGACCAGGGTAGGCTCAGGGAACTTTGGTCCTTCCTGTGGCCCTTCACCCTCTTTCCATGCGAAAAAGAGAAAATCACTCAGCACCCTCGGGGAATCTCTGTTCTTGAGAGGAACAAGCAGAAGTGCTCCCCCCACCCTTCCTGCCCCCAGGAACTGGAAAGGTGCCGGAGAGGGGGCAGCACTCTCGGGGGTGCAATCGGGGAACACTTTTCATTTTTTATTTTTATTTTTTGCTCTTTGGGTCTCACACACAGCATTGCACAGGGGTTCCTCCTGGCTCTGCACTCAGGAATTACTCCTGGCGGCTCTCGGGCGACCACATGGGATGCTGGTTATTGAACCCGGGTCGACCGCATACAAGGAAAATGCCCTCCTCGCTGTACTACTGTCACTCCAGTCCCCGGGGAATGCTTTTTAAAGATTCCTTCTTTTAGGGGACGGAAGCGATAGTACAGCGGGTAGGGCGTTTGCCTTGCACACAGCTGGCCCGGGTTCGATCCCTGGCATCCCATATGGTCCCCCAAGCACTGCCAGGAGTAATTCCTGAGTGCAGAGCCAGGAGGAACCCTTGAGCATTACTGGGTGTGACCCCAGAAAGCAAAAAACAAATTCCTTCATTTTTTTTTATTTAATCATTTTTTTTATTAGTGAAACACCATGAAGTACATTTATAGACTTATAAATTTTTGTGCTTGGGTTTCAGTTATACAAAAATTCCTTCATTTTTTTTCTCGCAGAGTTTAGGCCTCAGCTGGTGGTGCTCAGGGCTTCTTCCTGGCCCTTTGCTCAGAGATCACCCCTGGCAGTGCTCTGCAGACCCTGCAGGGTTGTGGTGGGGTCAGCCACGAGCCAGGCAAGCAGATGCCCTGCCCGCGGAACCATCTCTCCAGCCCCGGGGAGCGCTCCTTTGGCCCCCTGGGGGAAACGGTGGTCTGAGATGATTTATGCATGCACGAAGCCTGGTCAGAGCCCGTCCATTAAAATGAATCTGTTTCTTCTTAGGTCACCGCTGTCGTATCCCGGGACACAGGAGCAATATGCGGTAATGGCTGTGGGAAGGTTGGCCCGAAGGCTCCTCGTGTAGCTGTGAGCGGTCCCAGTGCAGGGCTGTCCCTGGAGGCCAAATCTGGCCCCAGGTCTGTCTTTGCGAATAAAGTTTTATTGGAACACAGTGGACCCATTTGTTTATCCATGGTCTTGCTTTTACCGTGCAGGGCAGTTGAGACAGAGACTGTGGCCCCTTATGTGGACATTCAGAGAGGAATTTCAGTGATACCTAATGGACAGGGCAGCATTGGTGGTCCTGGACACCCAGGCTGGCTTGCTTTCCTCCTGTCGTTTTGGACCGATCCACCTTTGGAGCTCCTCAAAAAATGACCTTGTGCCTACGTTGCACCTCAACGAAAACAAGTGGGATGAGGGACTGGAGAGATAGCCCAGTGGTTAGGGCGTCCGATGCGGCCAACCCAGATTCAATCCCCAGCACTCTGTAGGGTCCCCCAAGCACTGCCAGGAGTGATCCCTGAGCACAGAGCCAGAAGTAAGTCCTGAGCACTGTTGGGTGTGGCCTTATTTTGGGAAATTTAAAAAAAAAAGGAAAGGAAAGAAGTGAGACAGTGTTAGGAAGGAGGGCATGTGTCTGCGTGTGTACTGGGGACATTCTCAGTAGAGGGCGCAGCGAGGGCGGGGACTCAGAACAGCATGGGGGGGCTGCCCTCGCCCCTCCTGGGGGGCTTTGTCTGACTCGATGGCCCCGGATGCCCTTTTCCGGCTTTCTCCCTCTTCCCCGGGTGTCTTCCTTCTGCCCATCTGTCTCCAGATGTAGAACAGAAATGGTCAGGGCCAAGCTTCAGCCCACACCCCCTTTCCTCCGGCTTCAGGGGTGCACTGAAGTGGGGAGTGAGTCGGGAGGCCCCCAGCCCCACCCTGTTCACCTGGACTTTTTGGGGTCACATTGGCAGTGCTCAGGGCTACTCCTGGCCCTGCACTCAGGAATCTCTCCTGGCAGTGCTCAGAGGCCCTCTGGGATGCCGGCGATCGAAGCCTAGTCAGCTGCAGGGCAATCCCTGCTGTCCTTTGGCTCTGGCCCCTCTCCTTGACTCCGGAAGACAGTTCTGCCCAGTTTCTTTATGAAGTTTTTCGCACCCTTGACAAATCCATCTAAAGAGTCACTTATCCTGTACTGGGAAAAGACCTTCTTACGTCCCGAGGAAACAAGAGAAAGGAGACAGAAGTATTCAGACCTAGGGAAAGGCACAAGCTTCATGCCCCGTTCTTAGGAGCCCGGATCAGAGCGACTCCAGAGGAAGGAGCAGGGTCCTAAGTCCCTGGGGACCCTCAGCCCACACCTGACCCTGGCAGGTGACTGCCAGGGGCGCCTCCGTCATTCATGGCGACTGTCTTTCTGGAACCCCATTTAGAAATACCACTGGCGGTAGTTGCAGGGCGTTTGCCTTGCGTGCAGCTGGCCCAGGTTTGATCCTCGACACCCCACAGGGTCATCACCAGTGATCCCTGAGTGGTCCCTGAGCTCAGAGTCAGTGTAACACCTGAGCACCAGCAGAAGCACCACCCAGACCAAAAAAGACAAACCGGTTGGGGCCAGAGTGGAGCAGAGTGGGGAAGGCACTTGCTTTGCAAGTGGCCCACCTAGGTTTGATCCCCAGCACCTCATAGAGTCCTTGACACCCTATACAGTCCCCCGAGCCCTGCCAGGCGTGATCCCTGAGCACAAAACCCGGAGTAAGCCTTGAGCACGGCAGGATGTGGCCCCCCCAAAAACAAAAGAGCAAAACATTAGAAATACTGGTCAAAAGTCTTTAGATGTTCTCTCACTCTCTATTTTTTTTTTTTCCTCTTTGAATCATACCCAGCAATGCTTAGTGATTACTCCTGGCTCTGCACTCAGGAATTACTCCTGGCAATGTTTGGGGGGACCCTCTGGGGTGCCAGGGATCGAACCTGGGTCAGCTGCATGCAAGGCAAACGCCCTCTCTGCTGCCCTGCCGCTCCGGCCCCTTCAGATGTTTTCTGTGACCTAGAATTTCCACTTGATTTATCCAGGGCAGAGCTAGAGGGGCGATCCGATGCTGGCCAGTTGCTTTGCTGCCTTTTTCTAAGGCATGAGAAGCAACTTTCCTTGACAGAGTCGCTGGTGAGGGCCCCGGGGTGGAGGTCGGAGGGTGGGCGCTGGCCAGATCCACAACTTATTTCACACGTTTCGCCGGGTGATTTCCTCTGAGGATCTAGGTACAAAAACGAGCGGGTACTTGTTGTCCCAACTTGTTCTTGAAAGAACTTCAGGCAACGATTTTGCTTTTGTTTTTCTAAAGGTATATTTAAGGGCTCTCGTGAGAAATCTTTTTAACGAAGGAAATGATGTTTATCGGGAACATGATTGGAACAGCTCGCTAAGCCAGTACACAGAGGCGCTGAACATTGCTGATTATGCGAAGACTGAGGACATTGTAATTCCTGAAGAGATCATTGAGAAGCTGCACATCAATCGCATTGCTTGCTACTCCAATATGGTGAGTGGGAGACTTTCTGTCGGTTGGCCATGGGCCCCCGTGGCAGTTGACGGGGAGTTGAGTTTCTGAGCATTCCCAGAAAGGAACCAGTGTAAGAAGTGGCCTGTCGGGGCTGGGGCGATAGCACAGCGGGTAGGGCGTTTGCCTTACAAGCGGCCGACCCGGGTTCGATTCCCAGCATCCCATAGGGTCCCCCGAGCACCACCAGGGCCCCCTCAGCACCCTCCTCCCCCCGGCTCACACACAGCCCTCGCCCCTGCGTCCCACAGGGCTGGGCAAGGGGGGACACCCCCAGGGCTTCCAGGAGTAATTCCTGAGTGCGGAGCCAGGAGTAACCCCTGTGTGTCGCCAGGTGTGACCCAAAAAGCAAAAAGGAAAAAAAAGAAGCGGCTTGTACAAGAAAATCCCTTGCCCACTGGGGTTTCCCAGCAATGGGTCACTCATGGCTCAGTTGGATTCTCTGTGTCTACGCCCAGGGTTTCCACAAGAAGGTTCTCGAAGACTGCGACAAGGTCCTCGGATTCGATGCAAGTAACTGCAAAGCTCTGTACCGGAAGTCCAAGGCCCTGAGTGATCTCGGAAGATACAAAGAGGCTTACGAGGCTGTGGCCAAGTGCTCACTGACCGTGCCGCAGGTGGGGGTTTCCTGACATCTGTTCCTAACTGCCGGGGCCTTTGTCCATGGGAAGATGGGGTTTTCCGAACTGAGCTCTCCAGCCGAGAGTGAGCTCCCGTTGGGCACAGTTCATTGCGCAGAGAAGGAGTGTTGTAACAGGAAGCAAGTTAGAAATTGGACTGATTTGTCTTCTCTGTCAAGCTACTCACCGCCCGGGGCCCAGAGTGATAGCACAGTGGGGAGGGCGTTTGCCTCTCACACAACTGAGACAGGTTCGATCCCTGGCATCCCATCTGGTCTCATGGCTCCTCCAGGAGTGATCCCTGAGTGCAAAGCCAGGAGTAAGTTCTGAGCACCGTCGACTGTGGCCCCACCCTCCCCCAAAAATAAATAAAGGGGCTGGAGTGATAGTATGGTGGGTAGCTTGCTTCCCTGGCAAGTGTCTGACCTGGGTTCAATCCCAGGTACCCCGTACGGTCCACTCAAACCTCCCAGGAGGGGCTGGAGCGATAGCACAGTGGGTAGGGCGTTTGCCTTGCACGCTGCCGACCCGGGTTCGATCCCCAGCATCCCATATGGTCCCCTGAGCACCGCCAGGAGTAACTCCTGAGTGCAGAGCCAGGAGGAACCCCTGTGCATTGCTGGGTGTGGCCCAAAAAGAAAAAAAAAACAACCTCCCAGGAGCTATCCCTGAGCACAGAGCCAGGAGTAAGTTTTGAGCACCTCCGAATGTGCCCCCCCCCAAAAAAAAATAACTAAAAAAAAAAAAGAGGAAAGAAATTAACCACCCTCTGCACTCTTTCCAGGATGAACATGTAATTAAATTAACTCAAGAGCTTGCTCAGAAACTGGGGTTCAAGATTAGGAAAGCATATGTGAGAGCCGAGGTAAGTCGGGGGACCCCTGCAGCCTTCCTGCTTGCTCAGGCCCCGCCCACACACCCCTGCAGCCCCCCTGCTTGCTCAGGCCCCGCCCACACACCCCTGCAGCCCCCCTGCTTGCTTGGCCCCCGGCCAAGGGCTTGCCCTTACACGGGGCAACTGCCTTCTTTCAGCTCTCCTTAACGTCTGCACCTGGCGACGGGGCTGACAAGGTAAGCACATCCTTCTCTCTCAGAGCATCTCAGGAACGGGGACGAGAGCGGGTGGTCGTCGTTCTGCTTTCCCCGGCGTCGATTTTTGCGCCCACCCCATTTCCCCAGCACCCACTTGGTCAGGGCTTCCTGACGCTTCGGCAGAGAAAGCAGGTTACGCAGGTTATTGACCTGCCCTGCCGAAGCGGGGATGCCTGCGGGCTGACGAGCGTTTTCACAGCTCACGGGGCCACAGCAGGGTTTCGTAGCGAAACGGGGACGGCGCCAGGTCTAGTGGGGGGTGGTTTCGGGGGGGAGTCCTGGGTCTCTTGAGACTAGTGGGGGACCACGGGCGGGGGCGGGGGTGCCCCTCTGACCCCTCTCACCAGCCCCGGGACCATCCTTGGAGGAGGTCACTTCTGGAAGAAGGGGTGAGGAGCAGGGGGTGAAGGGGGCGTGGAAGTTTCCGAGCACTGACCTGGGTTCTGCTTGGCTTCCAGGCTCTGAAGTGTTCCGTGGAAGACATTGAGCCAGGTATGATGTCGCCTGTCTCCTTAGGGCCAGCTTTATTTATTTATTCATTTATTTATTTATTTAGCTTTGTTGGGTCACACCTGGCAATGAACAAAGGTCACTCCTGGCTCTGCACTCAGAATTTACTCCTGGTGGTGCTTGGGGGACCATCTGGGATGCCGGGGATGGAGGATCAGACCCGGGTTGGCCCCGAGTACAAGGCAGATGCCCTGCCTGCTGTGTTATCCTGCAGCCCCAAGGCCAGCTTTATTTATTGAAGGTTTTTTTTTTTTTTTGGTAATGTATTTGTTTATTTTAAAACTTTGTTTACTGAATCGCCATGAGACACAGTTACAAAGCGGCCACAATCCAGTTTCAGTTATACAATGTTTCCTCACCCTTCCTCCCCCAGTGCACATTTCCCACCACCCGTGTCCCTAGTTTCCCTCCCACTATCCTTCCTGCCCACCCCCCATCACACCCCCCTGCCCGCCTCTGTGGCAGGCACTGTTTTTCGTTCTCTCTCTCTCCTTTTGGACACTGTGGTTTGCAATGCAGACAGATACTGAGAGTGAGGTGCCCGTGGCTCTCCACATCTTACCTAGCGAACTGGCCATGAGGTTATTGGTATGAGAAGCGAAAAATCTCTCCTGAAACCCTTTTGAGCTTCTGGCCAGCTGGCAGGGGGCAGGTCGGGGGGGGGGGGGGGGGTCAGAGCACGCCCCTCCCCTCCTAACAGTTCTGCCCAAAAGGGGGTTGGGCACTTTGAGGAAAAAAGGAAGTTTTTACTAGTGATTCTTACTGATTCCAGGACAAAACTGAAGGTTTTTAGAATAACTTTGACCCTTCTGTTTGAAATGTTTTTTCCGGTTGTTTCTTTGTGTATGTGTGTTGGGGGGGCGAGTGAGGGGGTGTTACTACACCCAGCGATGCTCAGGGGTCCCTCCTGGCTCTGCACTCAGGAATCACTCCTAGAGGTGCTCGGGGGACCCCATGGGATGCTGGGGATTGAACCCGGGGCCAGCTGCGTGTAATTCAAGCACCCTCCCCCTTGTCCTTTTCGCTCCAGCCCATTGCTACAGCCCAGCTTTTAACAACTTTTTTTTGGGGGGGGGTCACACTGGCGATGCTCAGGGGTTCCTCCTGGCTCTGCACTCAGGAATTGCTCCAGGCAGTGCTCAGGGGACCATATGGGATGCTGGGAGTCGAACCCAGGTCGGCCGCGTGCAAGGCAAACGTCCTGCCGGCTGCACTCCCCCCAGCCCAGCTTTTAACCCTTGTGGTCTGTTCCCGCCTCACATTCCCGCTCCCCGTTTCCCTCTCCAGATTTATTAGCCCCGAGGCAGGAAGCCCTCCCTGCTGTTCCCGTCCCTGCCCCCGGCTTCCCGCCCCGCGGTGGGAGTGAGCTGGCCTCAGTGGCCGTCGTGCCCTTGGCTTCGGTTTTGCCGCTGCAAGTGGAGGAGAGTGCCCTGGCCCCAGCTGTGCTGGCTAACGGGGGCAGGAGCCCGTGCCCCCTGCCGGACGCCTTCCTCGATGACAACGACATGATCCTGGGGGACGAGCTGGACGATCTCCTGGACTCAGCCCCCGAGCCCAACGGGCCCGTGATGGTGAGTGCTTGCTGCCCACTCCGGGGGTGCCGCGCGTGTCTCAGGGCCGGGCGGCTGATTGCTGGCCCCCGTTGTGGTCTTCAGAGGAGCAGGGGAAGGAGGGGAGCAGCTTCCGTGACCCAGAAGGCCGTGTGGGGTTCCGGTTTGTGTGTTCAGGCGTCCTGCATTGTTCATTTGGTGGGCAGGGGGGGGCACACCCGGCGGCGCTCAGGGCTTGCTCCCGGCAGGGCTCGGGGCATCTTTCGGGGTGCCCAAGCCTGGGTCGGCCGTGTGCCTGGCACGTGTTCCCTCCCTGCTGTCCTGTCGCTCTTGGCTGCATTTGGCCGGGACAGCCTTGGTCTGGGGCAACTCCAATGTGGCCCACAGAGCCGAACCTTTTTTATGAACTGGACACCCCCCAACCCCCGCATCCTGCCAGCCCCCTGCCCCCCTGGAAGTCCGTGAGCACAGCCGGGCAGGGACCTCATGGTGCCTGGGACACTGGGGGTGCGGAGGGACTTGCGGGTTGTGCGTGTGGTCGGCCGAGCTGAGCTGGCGAGGCCGGCGGATCTGCTCCGATTCTTGGCCGTGCCGGGTGCCCGTGACCAGCGGCTTCCTTGATCGGCACAGGGAGGGATGGGAGACGGGAGCCTGTGATGTGTGCGGGGCCCGGGGACGCAGCGCCTCGAAGGGACGCAGCAGCTTCCTGTTGGCTGGTTTCATCTCTTTTTTTTTTTCTTTGGCTTTTTGGGTCACACCTGGCGATGCTCAGGGCTTCGTCCTGGCTCTGCACTCAGGAGTCACTCTCGATGACGTTCAGGGGACCTTAGGGGATGCCGGGGCTCGGACCCGGGTCGACTGTGTGCAAGACAAACACCTTTCCCACTGTGCTGTCGCTCTGGCCCCAGGCTGGTTCTGTCCCTCCCACCTCTCCAGCCCCCTCAGCGCCCTCCTCCCCCCAGCTCACACACAGCCCTCGCCCGTTGGTCCCACAGGGCTGGGCAAGGGGGGACACCCCAAGGGAAGTTTTGAAGGTCAAGTAAGGTTGGGATTTAAGTAGACCAAGATCCGCCATCGTGCACCTTTGAAACCCTGGGTGTGCAGGGGGCGGAGAGTCCAGTGGGCGAGCACTGGCCTTGCCCATGGCCACCTGGGCTCACTCCCGGTACCCCATGCAATCCCCTGAGCCCCACCGACCATGGCCGGGTTGGCCCAAAGCAGGCAAAAAAAGAAACAGTGGCTTAAAGGGAAGGAACGCTGCCCTGGGGGGCTGCCAACCCTGTTGGGGGTTTGCGCCCGCCCTGTGGTCAGTGGCCACTCGTTTCTCCGTGAGTAGAAGTTTCTGTGTGCCGCGGTAAGGAGTTTGGCCAGCGGCGCTTGGGTTTCGTGGCCCTCAATCTGTCTCGTTTCTCTCCTAGCCCTCAGCTCTGGTCCGAGGCCCCCTCCCGGCTGCTGGCGTGGCCCCCAGCATGCCCTTCCCGTCCTCCCTGCTGGGCACCTTGTCCCTGGGGGCGAGGTACACTCGGCCGCCCTCCCTTTCGGACCTGTATGCGCCTTTGACCTCACCCTTAGAAGATTTTTGTTCTTTAAATTCATTTTCAATGAGTGAACCCAAACGAGGTAAGAATTTTTGGTTTTTTGCTATCAACTAAAGTTCAATTTCTAAAGGGCAGGTGGGGCGCTGGTACTCTCTGTAGTAGGGGTTCGCGTTAAGAGAAAGAGAAAACTTCAGCTTAAGTGTCCTGAGGTGACAGTGTGGGAGGCAGGTGCACATGCCTGTGTGTGTGTGTGTGTGTGTGTGTGTGTGTGTACCAGGTGATGGTTTGTATCGTCCCGTGTCCCCCAGGGCATGCCCGTCAGAAGGGGCATCAGGAGAGCTTGTGCTCTGAACTCAAGGCCGAGTCTCGGGTGTGCGTGTGGGGTGGTGGCCAGCCCGTGACCTGCATTCCGAGGCTCAGGGCTGACTTTGTGCGCCGAGGCCAGGCCTTCACCGCTCTCGGAGACTTGGTCGGCACAGTTCAGGGGGCCCCTGGAGCCTGTTGGGTTAGCAGCGGGTACGGCCGAGTCGGGAGCGGAGAGCCGGGTCGAGTTCCTGCTTCCCCTTTCCGGGGAGCCAGCCGGGGCCGGGGCCTCTGAAAATAGCATCTGGTTGAGATTTGCTGGCTTCCGGGGTGGGGTTCGGTGAGCTGAGGCAGGAGTGGGGTGGGGGTGGGGGGGCGCAGGGAGCCCTCGCTGCGCCTGTGCCATGCCGCTGTCCTGCCCAGGGTCAGCTGAAGTCTCTCGTCCTTCCAGATCTGTGCACCCCAGCCGCAAGAGACTGCGTGTCGCTCGGTGGCGGTAGCCCCTCCCTGGTTCTAGTAAGTCTCTTCCTGTCCCCCAGTCCTTGGAGGGACCCTGACGGCCTCCTTGTCTCAGGTGGGGAGCGGTGGGTGGGCAGGCGTCCACGTCAGAGGCCCCTGGAGCCCGTCAGACCCCTCGGGCATGGCCAGGGCTTTGCTGTCACCCGTAGGTCCCAGGCAGGGGCAGCTGGGGACAGGCGCTGTGGGCCAGCTGGCGGGAGAGGCCGGGGGGGCAGGGGCAGGGCCAGTGGGTCTCGGTTGAACTTCTCTCGCTCGTGGGTCTGACTCCTTCTCCGGCGATGGTGGAGCCTCTCTGGGCTGGGCTGTGTCCATGTTTTTTGTGTGTTTGTTTGATTCTTCTTCCTGCAGATGAATGGACCTAGCAGTTTGTTCCCCTCGGAGGATTTCCTGGGGATCGCAAGTCAGCCAAGAAATGACTTTGGGAACTTCTTTGGAAGTGCAGTTACGAAACCGCCTTCCTCGGTGGCCCCGAGACACCCCCTGGAAGGGACGCACGAATTGAGGCAGGCGTGCCAGATCTGTTTTGTAAAATCAGGTC